TCTCTCTCTCTCTCTCTCTCTCTCTCTCTCTCTCGCTCGCTCGCTCGCTCTCCAATTTCCGCGGAACGCCACCGACAGAGGATGAACACGCCCACCGCTAGAAACAGAAGTCTGCGTGTAGTGGAAGCTCATGTTCCGTGGTGCAGACTATTGTAATCTCTCGCAGTCTGGGTGTGCGTGTGTATGTGCACAAGTCTCCTATCGCTATGTGATGCAAACAAACACATACGAGCCCTGAATAGTCATGTGATGCCTGCATCGTCATGTGATGTAAATCCAGTAACAAACTTCCGTACGTTGCTCGATTTGGAAATGTTTTGCCCTTCGTGCTTGGAACTTCATTCGCCACGATTCACGATCTCCATCAACGGTGGTTGTTGACGGGGTAATCCGCAAAACTGACCCCGTGCTTGTCCCAGGTGTCGCGTCCCGTCCCGTGCCTTCTTAACGTGAACTTCTTTCGTCCACCCCGTTCGTTCCATCGCCTACACAAGGCAAACATCATCATTACAGCCAAACCTCCGTATCCTGTTATCCTTTTTCCTTGCTGGGAAGAGGGGGATCAAAAAAGATAAGGTAAGGAATTCTCCCGAAGCAAACGCTACGCTCCAGAACTGAACAACGTCCTTTTGAGAGGGGGCTAGACATTGCGAAGACCTCACCGCGGAGTCCAAAACAGCACGGGACAGAGGGCAGGAGACGAGAAAACTGTATCGACAAGTCCACACAGACACAGAGAGAGAGAGAGAGAGAGAGAGAGAGAGAGAGAGGGGGGGGGGGGGAGGAACGTGGATCAAGCCGGTTAGGTTTCAACGTGAAACAGCCGCAGCCGACATTCGTCAGAGCGGGAAGCAAATCAAGCCACACGTGCTGCACCATCAAGAGGAACGGCCATTGGAGGGGAGCTGGGGAGGGCGGACAGATGCGGGCAGTGTCAAACAGGATAAGAGAACAAGTCAGGTTGTGAATGGATTAAAGCATGGTTAAGGTTGTGAATGGGTTAAAGCATGGTTAACCTGCGGAAAAGGCAAGCGGTCACCTCCGGAATCGTGTGGAAAGTTGGCGCGTCCCACAGATGAAGAGCAAGTTCTATAAAGCGGCCCTGGGACAGTCAATGGAGGAGACAAGACGGATACCCAAACACACACACACACACACAGAGAGAGAGAGAGAGAGAGAGAGAGAGAGAGAGAGAGAGAGAGAGAGAGAGGCGGAGCGTGGAATTATGGGCCCAATATGGGGTTTCCACGCGAGAAGCGACAAGCGACAAATGAGCTCTGCAAGCAAACTACATCCATCCGCCGCCATGCGCGGCATCTCTTGGAGCATAATCCGCGATGACAGCGATTTCACCAGCTCACACCCGCAGGCAGTAATTCTTCGAAGTCGTAGAAAGGCATGTGTCGATGGACAGGAGAAGCGCAAAGTCAACTGGCCACTCAAAATCCCTACGTTCCTCAAGGGCTACACTGCTCCCAATCTTTCCCATTCGCATCTCTCTCTCTCTCTCTCYCCCCCCCCCCCCTACATCTGTGCGTGCGTGTCTCACACACACTTCTCAGAAAAATGCACACGAGTATCTCATAGAGCTACGTAAGCGACTAAAACGCCCCTCCTTACAACTAGCATCCTCCCTTCGAGACACACACGCCTCCGAAAGCGTATTGACCAACGGCAATCGGCTGGACTGAGAAGGACACCCCTCCTTTCCCGCCTCTCTCTCTCTCTCTCTCTCTCTCTCTCTCTCTCTCTCTCTCTCTCTCTCGCTCGCTCGCTCGCTCTCTCTCTCGCACACACACATACCCCTCCCTCCCTCCTCCGCCCCCCCCTCGCGCATGGACGCACACCGCATCACGGAAGAATTCCGGACCCTATCGACAAGCTAACAGCTAAATACGGAAAGAAACCAAAGATAACCAAAGGTACCCAAGAATTTACAGAGACTAGAACAAATATCTGTTAACAACCATCGAGCGTCCTATGTTGCTGGTGCATCCACCATTTACAAAGATAAACAAAAAGAGTTGTGACATCGGGGAGACAGAAAGCGATAGTGGACGAGATGGAGAGAATGGAGGTTGCCCCAGGAAAGACGGACGAACGAGCCGAGGAGGAACGAAGAAGCGCGTTCCTCCGCGAATACACCTGGATTTCCCCGCCAACCCCGCCCCAACCCAACGTCCCTGCCCCCCGGTGCCCCATCGCACCCATCTCGCCCCACCGAGAGCCTGCGACCTGTAAAAGCGCGAAAAACCCACGACAGCCCGCACTTAATTCCATCACCTTATAAGTGAGGCACAGTTCCTTACCAACAACATTATACAAACAATGCAATCCTGCGTATTGACATATTATCTTCAACTACTGTGTATATATATGACGTTGCTCGCCTATCCTCCAGTTCTGCAACCGCGTCAATTTCCTATTACCTCTACGATCCGTATTTGCACCAGCAGGTCTCTCCTGCAGCTCCTTCCTACCCCCCACCAGTCTCGTCCATAAGCGTCTAAGTGGCCGAGAACTGACCTAGTTCCTCCCCAAGAGGATTCCAATGCATGTACACGAGGTGGTGTACGCTATCTTCTCTCTCTCTCTCCCCCCCGCCCTGCAGCTCCTCCCACACCACACACATCTATATCACGAAAACACGCACACTCAAAGAAGATAGAAAAGATGAACACAACAAAACGCAGCGAAACAGCTGAACTCTACTCGAGGACGATCATTTTCAAGTAGTTGAAGCTCTGGACTCATGGCGCTGCTCAGCTCCGTCGTCGCAAGATGTCGTGCTCTCGCTCAATGCCTATGAACTACACTCTTCTTCCATGGCGTCCGCTCCAACCACAACCCAGATACTCCAAATGAGGAAGACGTACTCTAATCAACGTATTCGTTTAACCCCGCTGATTTTTCACTGTATTCAGCTCAGGGTTCAAAGAAGACTTTGCGATGGCGCAAACGCCTCTGGGAACGAGCCTTCGATCGTCTCCATTTTCCTCTCAAACCGCACCGATTCTGCTCATTATACTCGACACGCAACACACCTTCTCCTGTACACTCTTGCGACGAGACGAATCCCAGCCCCGTACAGCTATCCCCCGTCGCTATCCAAGCGCGTCCCATTCCCCCCCCCCGGGTCTCTCTCTCTCTATCTCTCTCTCTCTCTCTCTCTCTCTCTCTCTCTCTCTCTCTCTCTCTCTCTCTCTCTCACTCACTCACTCACGCGCGCGCGCGTGCTTTTTATCAAGCACATATACGCCAGCAGCTAGTCATTGTCGCTACCTACCAAATCGTCTTGCTTCTTCTACCAACTCTCTCTCTCTCTCTCTCTCTCTCTCTCTCTCTCTCTCACGCGCGTGCTTTGTTCAAGCACACATACGCAAACAGCTAGTCATTGTCGCTACCTACCCAATTCTCTCTCTCTCTCTCTCTCTCTCTCTCTCCGAATACACGCGCGCGCTTTGAGTCAAGCACACATACGCAAGCAGCTAGTCTCTGTCGCTACCTACTCAATTGCCCCGTCTCTCTCTCTCTCTCTCTCTCTCTCTCTCTCTCTCTCTCTCTCTCTCTCTCTCTCTCTCTCTCTCTC